TCTATATTCTAATTGGTTAGTTATTCTCATTATGTCAACATTATCGCGATCCTGATTGGTTAGCCTGTTTCATTTCATCTATATTCTAATTGGTCAGTTATCCTCATTATGTCAGCACTTTCGCAATCCTGATTGTTTAGTCTGTTTCATTTCATCTATATTCTAATTGGTCAGTTTTCCTCATTATGTCAACACTTTCGCGATCCTGATTGGTTATCCTGTTTCATTTTATCTATATTCTAATTGGTCAGTTTTCCTCATTATGTCAACACTTTCGCGATCCTGATTGGTTATCCTGTTTCATTTTATCTTTACACAGCTTAGACGATAGGTGCGCAACTTTCTTGTCGTTAACGTTCTTGTTATATTTCGTTCTTTTAAAAGCCAACACATTAATAAAACACATGGCAATCTCAACACTACGCCCGCACGTCTGCAGGACAAACCAAGGCCATGGAGCTATTTCACGATTATCTGTTAAAACTCCAAAAACACTTGAAGCCGAATAAACCTGCACACAAACTAACAAAAGACCAACCACCGCTGACACATAGACGAGGCACTGCAGTCGCTTTATTTTGATATCCGTCACGCTATTGGTCTGTTGCGTGATTTTCCGCGCCACGTAAAGGAAGYCCAAACTCAGAATTAAACCAAATATAGACAGATATATCTGACAGAGGAAAAGTAGGAGTTTAGTTTTTTTAAAGCGCATGGAGATGAGATCTGTGGTGAGGACGACGAGTAGATTCAATACGGATAGGAGAATCAGAGTGAAGAGGTTCTGGAATCGAGGTGGTGTTAGGACGATGCGAGTTGTGTCTACCATTGCTAATAAGAGTAAGGAGAATGCAGATAGGATTAAAGGGAATCCGATAGACCAGGTGATGAAATAAGGGATTTCAAGAGCCACTTTTTGGAAGTTGTATGGATCCACAAGGAACAAAACTCCACGAGTGAGGCTAAAAAGAAACAAATTTGTAAACAATCCAACCTTGAGTCTGTTGCCTGTCGACCTCCGGATCGCGCATTCATGTACCAAGTATGCGAATGTAACCATAGCAACGACTAAATAACAAGAAGCAAAGGTATACACGTGAAATGGCCACGCCCATTTCCACAGCTGGAATGCTYCAGGCCAACTAGGGCCAGGTTCTGGTCGGTCATTACTGGAGGATGGAGAGCTGGGTTTTGGTTCGGGTTCAGGGGATGGTGTATTATTTTTGTTTGCTTCCTCGTCACCCGAAACAAAGGTGACCAGAAAAGAGAGAAAGATAGAGAACATGACGAGAGGACGAAACATGTCGGTGTTGTCTGTAATGGAAAATGAAGTACATGGTCAATATCTTCAAAATATTGTTGGAAAATTAAAATGTTGGATGATGATGATGATTATGATGATGATGATGATGTTGCGGCAAGGAGCTTAGTTAGCTGAAGCAATTTTACGTAGCTAGAGCCCTTACTCAAAGACAAATCGAATGCCTTTCATTGAATATTCCACACATACAGCCAATCAGAATGCATGAAAGCCGTTGTATATTAGGTAGTATTGAAACATTACTTCCCATCAGACATTGCGGTGTTTTGAATTTCGCTTTTAAAGACCTAGTTATTTTTACTGGTATGGGATAAAGTACATCAGTTTAATGCCACCATTAATCATTATTATTAATTAATAACGCCATTTAATTATACAGCTTCTCATTAATCCCATATAGGTAACTGTCCAATTATTTTCTTAATTGGACAGGTCTTGTTGATATGGGATTAATTAGGCAGCTATATAATTAATAGGTAATGGAATTTCATGCTCCCCAATCAAGAAATAATTAGACTCGAAAAATTCCTCTGACTRCCAAATTAGACTCGGCCTACGGCCTCATCCAATTTTGGAAGTCCTCGGATTTTCCTCGTCCAATTATTTCTTAATTGGACAGCATGGAGTCCTATTACATATACTAATAGATTCCACTTAATTGGCACTAGTTTGTACGTACACTCAAAACCGGTATGTAAACCATGTACATATTACCTACAACCGCTGCTTTATATCCAAAACCTGTTGTACTTGTAAGTGCACACTTTGACAACAAAACCGGAACTAATTGGTGAAAAAACCTTTAAGCCACAGTTTGCATAGAAACACACTACTTTGTCTCATTAATTCAACAAATTTCTGATATTTTGCCCCTTGAAAACTACAACGAGAGAAAAATCGGCATTAGCAAAATTCTTTTCAAAATTACGCGACCGGCGCTGCTCACGACTCGTCTCATTTTCTGTGTTTTGGCTGCCGTCAATCAAACATGAAAACGGCTTGCTCTTGCGAAATCCTTGCTTTGTAAATTCTGAGACGAAGCAAACTTGTCTTTCTTTCTGTAATATTCAAACTATTGAAACTTTAAGATCATTTTGGGCTTTTTTGAATGAAAACAAATCGTTCGATGTTTGATTGACGTCAGCCAAACTACAAGGAATACCTTTCAAGTGTCAACCACACATGTCACATAATTTTGAAAATAGGTGTAATGTGGCAAAGAAATCGAGTACAGCTCTACAAACAACGTTAGTTTTGCCAAAAATATGTCAGGTCCCAAAGGCATTGCAATATTTAGCATTATTCCGCTAGCTGTTTGTTAAATTTAAAAATAATGAAAAATGTATATATATATAATAAATGAACTAGAACTGTGAACTTTTCTAATTTAAGATAAATACGTATCGAAAAAGAAAATTCTACCAATTTTCCTACCAGTAAAGGAACGCATTTTATAACTAAAGCAGGTCGTGTCAAAAAAAAAAAAAAAAAAAAAAAGAGTTTTGGAGCTGCATGAAATCAAAATTAGAAATTACCATTTCCCTTACCGTTCAAATCGGGGGTATATTGTTATGGCGTCCAAATGTTTTCTCGTTTTTTTCTTTACTTTTTGTGTTGTAGCTGTTGGTTCTCTCCTGTGCTTCGAGGGTTTTACTCCGACGGTTTCTCTGGTTTTACCTTTCTCTGCTAAAGTTACACTGATAAATCTCAGTGATTTATCGYTGAACGCCTAAACAGTAGCTACTGTCTCGGGATATTGAGAGATATTGATCTCTCTCTCTCTACTCTTTGACGAAAAAATAAATTACTATTTGATCGTTTCGATCACGAAGGTAATATATCTGCGCAATCATAAAATTTGCGCGCACCTGCGTATTCTAAGAACTTCTTCTATGTTTTCATGGATACTGTCACCAAGACTACCGTTTTATCATTAATTTCGATAAAAGGAAAAGCAATGACTTTATATCTTAGATAGTTTTACTTAGTGCTCTATTTTTGGAAAGATCTAAACTTGAAAACAGCCATGGTATAGATAAAAATTTTGTTTCGTGAAATCATATTTTTCTTCTCGTAGAATTAGCTAGAATAAAGAAGGGGAACTGAAGAGTTCGCTGCGGGATGCCTTTAATTGTTTGAATCATCCCGTCTACCACTATATTAAGTAGATTATAGTTAAAAAATAAAGCTGTGTATGAAGGCGTAATTTCCGAGTATGGATAATATGCCTAGAGTTTCCCACAAAAAATCTTAAAAAACTTAAAAGCAGGCCAGGATATCATATACGACACTGATCAATTAAAGCGCACTAGGCAGCTGCTTGCCAGATAATAACTGATTCTTGTGAAAATTGTTAAACTGACGGTGCCATTTAATAGAGAAATTTCATTTCCGTTGCACTTTGATTTACGATAAAGTTAACTTTTTTCAAGCGACCAGTCGTCAAAATAGCAATGAGGGTTTTGCACTTATTTATGCAGCGTTTTTTTCTCAGACCGTAAAATACTATACTAATAGAGGTTAATAGATCTTATTTCCATTGCTTTCTTTTGGTGTCTATTTAACTATTATAAACTATATATACTAGAAACAGTTTCAGAGTCTTAGGAAAATCACATTACCTCTATTTTAAAAGTCTCAAAGTGCGTTTTTGCAGCAAGTTATACCAGACGGCCACTTGACTATCAGTGGCCACTGGCGGTCGCTTAAAGTGCCTATCACCCTTCTGACAATATTCACAGTATTGATTCTACATGGGGTAAGATGTCGAATAACCTAAAAAATATATATTTTGAGTGCAGCTTCTTGAAGTTATGAAGGCTTTTCCATGCCATATGCTAATGCGGTGACGTATGAGGAGGCATTTATGGTTATTTGTTGTTCCTTGTAATTTGAAACACCGGCTTCTATGTGAAAAATAGCTTGCAATCATTTCTATAAGAGCAATGGGGAAAACAATGACGTATTTCAAATTTAATTTATCTGTGCCAGTAAGGTTTTGTATATTAAATGATTACTCCTCATACATCACAACATTAGCATATGGCATGGAAAAACCTTTATAACTTCAGGAAGCCGCACTCAAACTATGAATTTTTTTCGGGCTTTTCCACATCTTACCCCATGTAGAATCAATACTGTGAATATGTCAGAAGGGTGATAGGCACTTTAACAGAGTTTTATCTACAGTATTTCGAGTTTTACTTATTAGTATCACACATCAGAGCCCAGTTGTTCAAAGCCCGATTAGTGCTAATCCTGGGTTAACTCTTAATAAGACCTATAGAGTTAATCCTGGATTAGCGCTAATCCAGCCTTGAACAACCCGGCCCAAGCATTTAAGCTAATCTGTATACCTGTTTAAAAAGCTGGTACGTCCTTGGGCTTTAGCAGCAAAGGCAGCAAAACCTCGAAAAGGATATTACATTAGGAACTGTTGAATTTCATGAGAAAGATGAAAACCTAATCGATCGAAGGCGCAATGGTTGCTAGGAGACGTAGATACGATTACCAAAAAGGTGGACTATAATCACGCGCATACATTAACTTTTATGATCTACTTTTCCACCTGCTGGTCAAAACGGGCTATACTGATACACTGTATTGCAAGAATATTGTCATAGAGTATAACAAATAGATTTATTTTAAAATGTTGTTTCTAATATAAAGCCTTTAAGCTTTCAGTAATATAAAACGATTTCAATAAACGTTGTCATCGCTAAAAGCGATAGGCGATAGGTTATTCCGAATGGTTTCGTTGAATGCAAAGAACATTGAATCAGTGTCAACACCAAGGTCCATGTTCTTGACGAGAATAAGAAGTAGAACCACAAAGTCATTCCAGCTATTAAAGACTCATCACTAGTAGATGAGGTTGGCGTTAGGTGCTTGTTCGGTGGGATAAGAGGGGCTTGGCACATAAAATCGCGGTAACCATGGCAACCCTGTCACAACTCACCGTGCACCTGTCACACTGACGGTCTGGTCAGTGAATACTTACCTATACATATATCTAGCATAGGGAGGGAGGGCGGGACAAAACACAAATATAGTTAAGTATAGTTTAGCCTTTGGTTTCCAGAGGCTAGCGATAGCGAATATCAAATATGCAAACGATTGTTGGCCGAATTTTAGGTGGCCTACGGGCAAACAACCAATGGAAAGATCGGCTATCGTAGACTATTCGCTGCTACTCAGTTCGAGTCTAACTTTGCCTTAATTTCATTTAACCACATTTCTTGGATCTTGGAATGACCTATCTTCTATTGATGGGTTGCAAGCATTTCCAAGAAAGCGAAAACGCAAAAACCGCATGGCGACCATTGTGGTGCCGTTAACAATGGATGCTAATAAGAAATCTTTTGTTAAGTGCCTATCACCCTTCTGACATGTTCACAGTATTAATTCTATATGGGGTAGGATGTTAAATAGCACTAAAAAATTGTATAGTTTAAGTGCAGCTTCTTGAAGTTTTAAAGGTTTTTCCATGCCATATGCTAATGTTGTGACGTATGAGGAATAATCATTTTTAATATACAAAACATTTTTGGCACAGATAAATTAAATTTTAAATCCGTCATCGATTTCCGCATTGCTTTTATAGAAATGATTGCAAGTTAGCTTTCACATAGAAGCCGGTATTTCGAATTACAAGGAACAACAAATAACCATCAATGCCTCCACTACGTCACAGCATTAGAATAAAACATGGGAAAACCTTTACAACTTCAAGAAGCCGCACTCTATGAAATTTTTTGGGGTTATTCAACATCTTACCCCATGTAGAATCAATACTGAGAATTTTATCAGAAGGGTGATAGGCACTTTAGAGAAGGCTCTCATTTACGGCAAATGTGAAACGTCAGTTGACCATTAAAAAGTTCTTTAAAATTAGTGAAAAGGAATTACAAAAATCTCCAAGTAGTAGATAAACAAAAGAACACTTGTCTTTGTCGAGGTTTACAAAAGGTAAAGTGAAATGTAGGGAAACAATGAAAACGTGGTCACGTTTGCCGTTTGCGGGAAGGAAAAACGGGAATCTTAATCTGCCTAATGGCACCAACATGGCCGCGATGACGTAATGTGCAATCGAAGAATTGCTTTTCGCCTATTGCCAATCAACGATGGCGATGACAACGTTTATTGAAATAGAAGTATGTAAAAAAAAAAGTCAGTCAATACCTTCAAAACAGTAAAATAATAATTACTCCTGTTTTACTGCTAGAAATAATAATAATTCCTATTTGTTATTCTACGACAACCTTTTTGCAATGAGGTGTATGATTTGGAAAAAAACAATAGATTTAATTCTAATCCAATCACATTATATCTCGACCAGCTCTGAATTCTCAACTGCAGATGCGCAATGATAGATACACTACTTAGGTAGAGGGGAGGGGAAAAAAAAGATAAAAGACGAACAAAAGCCAGTATTTTTGGTTAATTAATTTGTGAGCTTCGCGCGTCTAGTCTGGTCTCCTCCGCTTCTCACGTTCTCAGTGATGTTATTAAACATCCCGTTCCTCTAGATCCGAGTATCTAAAATTTTAWACTGTTCTATTTTTCTTAATTCATTAAAAGGACAATGATATATAATAACGATGATATATAATGACAGTAATAGGTAATAGTTCTCTGGTTGATTTTAATGTGTTTGTAAGTAAATGTGGTTCGTCATTTCTTTTTTTTTGAAAAATACTAGGCTTCGTAGGGCATGCATCTACCATAGGTGAGAATAAGAATATAAGAATATACAAATAATTTAGAAATAATATAAATTCGATAAGTATGACCTTTTTGGGGATAGTGGTCATTGTGCATTCTGGTCTAGCTCGGGTACGCATTTCTTTTTTTGTTACAAGATCGAGCTAAAGTTTATCAGTTTGTCAGTGCGCTGTTAACGCAAATTAAGAGGCCGTAGTGTCACCGCCCGTGATCTTACACACTTTTTTGTTTTCTCTCGCATCCGTGTAACTTAAGCTTAAATAATTTTAAAACGGAGCACTGATGGAGAGAAGAGGTTAAGTGCGCAATTAGTGAATTTCAACTAAACGGGACTACCGATGTGAAACATAGTTACTTAACCTGTACCCAAGCTAGACCAGAATGCACCTTGCGGACTCATTAAAGGCCTGTGTTGCGTCACTGATAGGCCATCCCACCATGGTCTCATGTATCTGATGTTTCCCATTTACAGTAATCTTTCTTCACTACCACTATTTAGAAACTTTTGAATAACTATAACTTCCCTTTGTCCTTTAGACCATCCATTTATTAACCATTATAACCCACCCCAACACCCCCCCCCCCCCCCCTAGGAACGTAAGATTGTGACGTCATCAGCATTAGATGCTTATCTTCAGTAAAATATTATATAAAATTTTGTTGTTTATCTTGTGTTTGTAAACTCTCTTGAAACAGGAGTTTCAATTGATGCACAACATTATATTACCAGATAGCGTGTCTGGCAAGTCATTCAGGAAGGGGAATACCCCTGAGTTGTGTGGGACATTATCATGCAGGTACGCTCACGTCTGTTGCGTATTCGTGCCTGAAAGCTGTTGAACAACACGCCTGACAGAAAGAATGTCCCAGCAGCTTGATCTGTAATTTGACTTGATCTAATGAGACCAACAACTTCTTTCCTATGTTTTTCATTTCAATTTCCATTCTTCCACTACACAAATGGGAACTTCGTTCTTGAGCCCGAAGGCTTCGGTGATTTAGATTTAGTGCTTGTTTTCTTTGTTGTCTTGGGTTTTCCTCGCACACGACATGTCAACACGGCACAGTACACTAACACTAGCGCAGACAGTAATGCCAGGTAGAAGGGGAAAGTGTACAGAACTGTTAGATGTGTCCCAGTGAGAGGTTCTTGTTCATCGTCAGAACTACCTGGGTACACGGCTAACCGGTTAACACGACGAGGCACGAGCACTGGAAGCTAGAAATATAAGTAACAAACTGCGTTAGTGTTGCAAAGTACAATTACACAAATATAAGCGCATTTTATTCCGTGTCTCCCGTGTCGCGCACTATTTCGTGGGATACTTCACTGGATGGTATGACTGAAGTGCTAAGTTTCACGCTTGCACAGCATTGGTCCTTTGCAAGGCCTGATCCAGGGGGTTGGGGGTGGGTTGTTGGTGGGGGCTAAGGGGGACTGAATCCCCCCTTCAGCAGAAAGAAACCAAAAACAAAAACAAAAAACCCTGAAGAATTAGATGCTTTTTTTATTGTTTTCCGTTGTGTTGACGGAAGAAACTCAATTAGCCCCCCCCCAAACTTAATTAGCCCCCACCTAAAATTTTCGCTGGATCCGCCCTTGCTTTGAGCCCCATGCGTAGTGGCTGCTAGATACTACTTCCCGCCACGCCACGTTACTAACATTACTAACTAGTACAAAATAGCACCAATAAAACAATTGAAAACAAAACAAATAGATGTGTTTAGTGCTATTTAGTTTTTTATGCTATTTCACGAATATATGGTTACAAACGGTTACTTACTTGTTCTAAATCTATGGAAAGTAGCCTATGTCCTTTGTGTAGACTTGCTGGAAGAGTTTGATTGACAGGTTGGGGCGTGGCCCACATAAGATGTGGACAAGCTGGTAAAGGGCGTGGTTGGACCGTTCCTAGTTGCGCCCCATTCAGTACCTTGGAATATTTATGAAGGTGGTTACCTAAAGTGAAACAAAAATATTCTTTAAGAGACTTCGTATATCCAATGTCTTTTAAGATTAAAAACCTTCAAATCTTATCGCTTCTCTGAAACAACCCCTGGTCAAAGTCAGTGCACGCTAACTCACAGATCAAACCTTGACATAACCCCTGGGCTGATCAAAGTAAGTGCACACTAACTCACAGATCAAACCTTGACATAACCCCTGGGCTG